GGGTCTGGGCAGCCACAGGGAGAGGCGCTTCCTGCCGGGGCCCAGGCTTTGCTTCTCCATCAGCCAGAGCCGAAAAGATGGGGTCCAGACACCTGCACCACTCTGCTTCCTCTCACGGCCACACGTTGTCCCCAGGCCCTGGCCCCCGCCTGTCCTGGTGAGACCCTCCATGGCTTTGTCCCTTGCCCCCCTCCCGGGTCACTGGGCACTGCTGGATGCACCCCAGGCCTTTGTACGTGCTGCCCCCCCTTTTCCTCACTGCCAAGCTGTTCTTTCCTGCCCACCCACAGGAAACAACCTGTGCCTTGTTCTCTGTAGTGCCATTCCCGAAGCTCACGGGGCAGTTTTGGGCTGGGTGACAAGGCAGATGGCGCTTCTTCAGAGAACCTTCCAGTGCAGTGGCTTTTCTTTGAGCCAGGATCTTGCAATGGATGTAGCTCAGGTTGGCCTCACACTTGAGATCTTACTGCCTGGACCTCCCAAATGCTGGGATTGTGGCTCCTGTGGTGTTCTACAAGCCCCTGGCCCCAGCTCCCCACACCTAACTTGTGGGAGCTCTGGGCGAGCGAGGTCTGGGCAGGAACACCTGGGACAGGCCTTCTCAGAACAGCTGTCTGCCCTAATTTCTCACTAGCTTGAAGCCATGCTCTTGTGAGACAGTGCTCATAACTGGAAACAACACTGCTGTGTGTGCGTGTGCGCACGCGCTGGTTCTGGGGCTTGAACTCAGGGCCTGAGCACTTGTTCCTGAGCTTTGTTTGCTAAGGCTAGTGCTCTGCTACTTGAGCCACAGTGCCACTTCTAGCTTTCGTGTGTGTGATTAGAGATAAGAGTCGCATGGGCTTCTCTGCCTTGGCTGGCTTGGAACTGTGATCCTCAGGTCTCAGCCCCCAGGGTGGCTAGGATTATAGGGGGTGAGCCAGGGCGCCCAGCCACACTGCCCGTGTTGTTTTTGGTATTGGGGATTGAACTGTACTTGGGCAGCAGGCGCCCAATTTCTCCCTCTTGATTAGCACGTATGTGTGTATGCACGTATGTGTGTATGTATGTATATATGAACATATGTGTGCACGTATACGTATGTATATGTACACGTGTATGCATGTATGCATATGTGTATGTACGTATGTACATATGTGTGTATGTATGTGTGTGTACGTATGTGTATGTATGCAAGCTCTTATCGGTGTCTGTCAGCCTTACTGAGGCTCACGTGTGCACCCCTGTAATCCCAGTGTGGGGAAGGGACAAGGGGAGGGGATGGGGGAGAGGACCGAGGAGGGGACTGAGGGGAGGGGACGGCCCTGCATGGAGTGGGCCCAGGCCAGCGGCGGCAGGGTGGTTCTGTCTGCACTACAGGCCGCAGGGCGGGCATCAATCTGCCCAGGCCCCGCCCCTGGCCGCTCAGGCCCCGCCCCCCGCGGCCGCCGAGTCCAGGCCCCACCCCCTGCCGCCCAGGCCCCGCCCCCGCCGCCGAGCGGGCTTCGATCCGCCCAGGCCCCGCCCACCTCCGGGTCGGAGCGGTGCGGTGCGGTGCAGTGCAGAGCCGCCTTGCAGCCGGGTCCACCGGGTCGGCCGGGCCCGTAGCCCTCGGCCCGCTGAGGCCGAAGAAGCATGGACCCTTCCCGAGCCATTCAGCACGAGATCAGCTCCCTCAAAGGTGCGGCCGGGGCCCCGCCCGGGTGCGGGGTCTGGGGTCTGCGGTGGGGTCGCCGGCCCGGCCCCGCCCGGCCCTCTTGTGCTCTGCGGGCGGCTTCCCGCGCCGGGCTGCGGTGCTCCCGTTCCGTTCCTTGCGCTGCCCTCCCGGGCTCGGCCTCTGCAGTGGGGGGCGGGGCTCAGGCTGCAGTCCGGGCTGCGCCTGGCCGGCCGGCCCCTGGGGGGCTGGGTTCATGGGGGTCCGGGCTCGGTCTATGGGGAGCTCGGTCGGTCAGGTCCGTGGGGGCCCGGCTCATAGGAGGGGCTGGGTCCATGGGGGGCTGGGTCCAAGGGGAGGGGTTGGGTCCATGGGGGACCTGTCTATGGGGAGCTTGGTCAGGTCCATGGGGGCCCGGCTCATGGGAGGGGCTGGGTCCATGGGGGGCTGGGCCCATGGGGGCTGGGCCCATGGGGGCTGGGCCCATGGGGGCTGGGTCCATGGGGGTTCAGGTTCGGTCTATGGGGAGCTCGGTCCATCAGGTCCATGGGGGGGTCTGGGTCCATGGGGGGCCCAGGCTTGGTCTATGGGGAATTCGGTCAGGTCCATGGGGGCCCGGCTCATGGTGGGGGCTGGGTCCATGGGGGGGCCGGGCTCATGGGAGGGGCTGGGTCCATGGGGGGCTGGGTCAGGCCTGTGGGGAGGCAGGCTAATGAGGGGGGCTGGGCCTGGTCTATGGGGAACTGGGTCAGATCCATGGGGGTTGCAGTCCATGGGTGACTGGGTCTATGGGGAGCTGGGCCTGGTCCATAGGGGGTTGGGTCAGACCTGGGGGGGGCGGGCTGGGTCCATGGGGGAGCCAATATCATGAGGGGGGGCTGGGCCTGGTCTATGGAGAGCTGGGTCAGATCCATGGGTGTCAGGTCCATGGGGGGCTGGGTCAGATCATGGGGGGGGTCTTGTCCATGGGGAGCTGGGCTCATGGGGGTCTGGGTCAGGCCTGTGGGAGGCTGGGCCTGGTCCATAGGGGGGTGGACTGGATCCATGGGGGGGACAATTTCATGAGGGGGCCTGGGCCTGGTCCATGGAGAGCTGGGTCAGATCCATGGGGGGGCTGTATCAAGTGTGTGGCGGGGGGTCTGAGTCAGGCTGGGGAATCTGTGTCCCGGCGCCCGGCGGGCTGGCCCCAGAACACCATACTGTGACTCTTTGTCCTGAGTTGGGGAGCTGGGGCTACCCAAAGGCCTCAACTGGTTGCCCTGGAAACCTGTAGGGGCCGGCTGTGGTGGGGTGGGGGCCCAGCCCACATGCCTTCCTCCCAGTGCTGGATGGACTTCTGTCTGCCAGTGCAGGGGAGGGGTGAAGGGCTTCTGAAGGGGCTGGGTGAGTGCACTCATGCACGTGTGTGCCACCCTGGCGACTTTGCACCCATGGGAGCAGGCTGGGGCACAGCCGCTCCAGGTCCCCCTGCCTCCCCCGCCAGCAGACTCCACGCCTAACACCCTGCTCTGGAGCCGGGGACTCCTGCCTCCTGCCTGGGGCTGCCGCCTAAGAAGCTGGGCAGGAGAAGTTTTAGGCCCAAGGACTTGGGCTTTGGGAGAGACAGGGGCCTTTGGGGGCCTGTAGGGACGGTGGGTTGATTTGGTGAGGACTTAGAATTTGGAGAGGACCAGGTTAGGAAATAGAGCCAGAAAGATGGCGTGGATGTTCAGGGGCTCCGGTGTTGCAGGAGGGCTGTGGCGGTGGCGCCGTGGGGTGCTGATCCTGTCGGAGGGTGGGGACTCCCGTGGGCATGGGACTGGCTGCCGCTTTCACCGGGGCAGGCCCAGGGCTGGCTGGCACAGCCACATCCCCGGGGCTCAGGGCCTTTGGATGCTGCAGCCATGGGGTGTGGCCGCTGTTCATTCCGCTCCTGCGGCTCTGCAGCTCAGCAGTCCACCCGGACTCGCCCACCCTCCCAGTGAGGTCTGCCTGCAGCTGGCCCCTTCCCGCCTGGGGCTGCAGCCGGCTAGGGGCGGGGCAGGGTGGCTGCGGCCGGCTGGGGGCGGGGCAGGGTGGCTGCGGCGCAGGGTGGCTGCGGCCGGCTGGGGGCGGGGCAGGGTGGCTGCGGCTGGCCAGCCAGGCTGGCTGGGGAATTTCGGGAACAGTTGGCTGAGTCTTCAGAGTTTCCACTCTCCACACCGCCCAGGGTAGGGACCCGTGTGTGTTGGGGTGTGCTGTTTGGAGCCTGCTTCGGGCTCCATGGAGACGCCCATAAACCGTCCCACGCGCTGCTCTGTTGGCTGTAGGCCCGGGGCTGGCCGCCCGCCCTCAGCAGGATCCCCCACCCCACCCTATTTATAATCAGCTCCTGGGTTTGGGTGACTGGTGGGAAGCAGTGTGTCCTCTTGGGGGAGCCCAGATCCTAGTAGGGGTTGGGGGGCACCGCAGAGAGGGGCACAGATTGTCCACAGCCCTGCTCTCCGTGCCAAGGAGCTGAAGGGGTTGGTGGGTGTGGCAGGGCAGCTTTCTCTCCTGAGGGTTTCCCACGTCTGGGCCTGTGGCCGCCAGTGCTGCAGGGTGGGAAGGGTGGGAAGGGTGTGCAGGCCTCGGGACCACCCATGGGGGGGGTGGCTGGGCCTCGCCCCCGGTTCTTTGTGTCAGCTGGCTCCTGACAGCTGTCCCCCAGGAGGGAGGCGACCCGGAGCCGGCGCCACCGAGCCCCACCCTGAGCTCTGCACTGCTTCTGGACAGAGTGTTAAATCCTGTGCTCACGGCCTCAGGCCCCGCGTTTGTCCGAGGTTCCCAGTCCGGTGCTCACACAACTGCCCTGCTGTTCCCCTCAGACCTGAGCCCCTCGAGACCGCGGCTGCCTGTGAGACCCAGCTTTCCTTTGGAACCTTAGTTCCCTGAATTCTGAACAACCCACCCTCCTCCTTCAGACCCCTATAGACTGTACCCCAGGTCAGCTCCCTGGCCAGGGGGCTCTTCCCACCCTCCCCAGTTTGCTCGCCCACTTCTGCTGCCTTTTCCTGGGACTCTTGGACTGTATTCTTCTCCTTACAGTCTTCGGAACCTTGGAGAAGCATTTTAGAAACTGATGGAATTCCTGTCACTGGAACTGTTGGGCCTGGGAGGGGAGGAAAAAGCTGTAGGGGTGGCTTCTGCCACAGGATGCCCCCATTCTGCCTGGGGGGCCCCCCTGGGCTGCCTGTGGGAGGGGCCGGCCCTGCTGCTGAGTCAGAGGGGGCCGGCCCAGAGTCCTGGCGGGCGGGAGGGAGGCTCCCGGCCGGCCGGCGGCAGTGCAGGCAGGAATCCACAGAGCCAGGCGCCGGAGTCCCAGTGCCGTGTGCTGCACGCCGCCACTGCCGCCGGAGCCCGCCAGCAGCCTGTGCCCGGGAGCCTCACGCGCTTCTCCACCGCGCCCTTCTCCTCACGCCCTCACCCCGCGCCGTGTGGTCCCGTCCCGGCAGCCATGGTGGCCGGTATGCTCATGCCGCTGGGCCAGCTCCGGGCCATCTATGAAGTGCTCTTCCGTGAGGGTGTGGTGGTGGCCAAGAAGGACCGGAGGCCCCACAGCCTGCATCCCCACGTGCCTGGCGCCACCAACCTGCAGGTCATGCGTGCCATGGCTTCCCTGCGGGCTCGGGGCCTGGTGCGGGAGACCTTTGCCTGGCGCCACTTCTACTGGTATCTGACCAACGAGGGCATCGCCCACCTGCGCCAGTACCTGCACCTGCCACCCGAGATCGTGCCTGCTTCCCTGCAGCGTGTGCACCGCCCCGCCGCCGCCCCCGCGCGCCGCGCGCCTCACGTGCAGTCCGTGCAGGGCCCCCTGGGCTGCCCGGCCAAGCGGGGGTCCGTGCCGGGCAGGGACCCCACGCACGAGGAGCGGCGGGTCTACCGCAGGAAGGAGCCTGAGGAGGAGGCACCTGAAGCCCCTGTGGTGCCTGCCAGCGCCCGGGGGACCCTGGCCAGGCCCGTCCCGGAGCCCACCCCAGCCACAGGTCAGCCACGTCCCGGCTCTAGGCCAAGGAGGGCGGGAAGGGGCTGTGGACGTCAGGGGTGCCCAGCCTTAGGCCTGGTGGCCCCAGTAGGCAGCACGAGCGCCGGGCCTCTGGCCGCACCAGTAGGTGGCGCCGTCTCTTCCTGAAGCTCCTGGGTGCTCTGGCAGACTGACCCCTCGTGGCTCCCGTGGGCGGGTTCTGCCCGGCCCGACTGGCAAGGCCAGCTGCTGGGGCAGTTGCAGAGCCCAGCGCGGGGCCTTCTCTCTGTCCTTGCTTTTGCCCTCCCCCCCCTCCCCCCCCCCCACCAGCAGCCCGGCTGGGCGCGCCTTGGGGTTGTGAAGAGGTTCTGGCACCCAGCCGGTGTAGCTACGGCCGCGGCCCGGGCTGACTGCTTGGCTTCCCAGCCTTGAGTCTGCATGGCAGGGCTGTGTGCTGTGGCCCCCAGGCCTGAGTGGCTTAGATTCGTATTACAGTGCTGAGTATCCTCTGCGCCTGGACCCTGGCCAGCTTGGAGTTGGCTGGGGCCTGGACACCGCATCCAGGCCCGGGTGGGCTTAGGTAGGGTGAGAGAAGAGAGGAGCGAGGGCAGAGGCCGGCGACTCTCCTGTCCCTAAACGCCAGCACACGGGGGCATGCGGAGCCTCTGGGGCCAGCCCAGACACTGCCAGGCGGGCCTAACACCCGAGGAGAAGTCCGTTCTCCAGGGTGAGGGCCTGGGTGAGGGATGGCCCACTTGGGGCACAGCTGCCTGGCAGGTGCCGGGGAGCCGGAGCAGGTCTTCATTGGTGTGTCTGTTGGGGCCCCTCGGGCCTTGATGGAGGAGTCCATCTGTGAGGGCCACCTCTGAGCTCTTCCCGAGGCCTTTCTAGTTTCCCTATAAAAGGTGGCAGTGTCTGAGCTCTCTCCCATTCTCGGGCTGGGTGTGGTGAGGGGGAGGAAGCCCTCCCCCTTTTTTCCTCCTTCCTTCCTTGTTCTGTGTGCCAGCAGGTCCTGCTCAGTGGGCAGTTGGCGGCAGGGCGGCAGGGTGAGGGTTCTGGGTGTGGCTGTGGTGGGCAGCAGAGGGCACCCCGTCCCCGACGAGGTGACTCAGTCTTCCCTTCCCAGGCAGAGCCGTCGGTGGCAGCTCAGAGTTTCCAACAGGAAATGAGCTCCAGGCTGACTCAGTGCCCAGGCCCCCTCCCTCCACTAGGCCCTGCGGGGCTGGGCGGGAGGCCTGGGGGCCAGGACTGTGCTCCAGACGCCTGTTGATGGCAGGGATACCAGGGCCCCGGGCAGAAGCCGGGACAGCTGCTGCTTCACGTTCTGCGCAGATGCCTGTCCCCGGTTTGCATTGGGTAGTGCCTCAGAAGAGCCTGTGCTGCCTGTGCCCACAGAGATGGCACTGCTGTGCTGAGCCCAGACTTCCCACATCAGACCTGCGGGTTTGAGCAGGCCCAGCAGGAGCGAGCACCCCAGCCGAGCTGCTGGGAACCCATTTTGCTCTTAAGAGTCAACAAAAGCTGGTCTTTGTTGTTGTCATTGGTTTTGTTTGCTTTGAGAAAGGGTCTCACCGCGAAGAGCTGTCACATGGCGTGTGCAGTCATGAATGGCTTCTCAGCGTTAGGAGACCAGCGAGTAGTGAGCCCTGCACCGTGCACTGTGGTGCTTCTGCAGAGAGCCCAATGCTGGAGCCTCTGGGGTGGCTTTGCTGGTCACCAGAGAGGCCTCTGTCCATCCAGGCCTGCCTGGGGACCCAGACACACTGCGGTGTGGGCGGGAGCCCTGACTCCTCCTTGCACCCGTAGGTCTCCGTTGGGTGGAGCCCCGAGGCCTCCACGCACCTGTGTGGAGGGTGTCCCTGTCTTAGACTCACACGTAGCCTCAGCCCTAGGAGCCCAGACACGGGATGGACTGGGTGCAGGGACTGTGGTAAGAGTAATCAGGGAGGCCCTCGGAAGAGGCGCCCGCTGAGCTGAGGCCTGACTGGCGAGGCGGGGCCGCCAGGGCAGAGGAGAGCTTGGGGGTTTCCGCCTGTGTTAATGAGTTTTCATACTCCAAAAATATGTTTTGCCCAGCTCAGAATTCAGAAAATACCCAGAAGTGTGTAGGGAAACGACAGCACATTCAGGGCGTTGGCCCCCAGGATTTTATCCAGGGTAGGGACAGGGCATCACAGCTGCCCTCCATTGTGGAGGTGTAGGGTGCCTAGCTCTCTTCCCAGCACCGTTCCCCCCCAGCATGGGTTGTGGGGTTTGGCAGTTTGGGGGTGGTGGAGAGCTTTGTATATCGGTCATCTTGCTTGTTTGGGGGAAACCTGAAGAACTCCAGCAGGTTCCCACGGGTTGTGGTGGATTTAGGTTTTCATTTCCGGGTACACCCAGCTGGACTTAGATCTGCGTTCCCAGCTGGTGTGGATGCTTTAGATGGTGGGGAGGTGACATGTTTGCCCAGGCCGGCAGGCTGGGACGGAGCTGGTTGTAGGGGACTGGGCCCAGGATGGGGTCTGCTCTGGGTGGAGCAGTGGGTGGGAAGTGGGGCTGGAGCTGTAGTCAGAGTTGTGCCCTTGCCCAGCTGTTTGGGGCCCTGTCTTTGATTGCCACCACCTCCAGCACCAGAAAGAATGGGACCGAGCTTCTGCACAGCCTCATGGATGTTTGGCATGTGGGTGGGTGGACGGGCGAGGTCTTGGGTTGGCTCTGGGGCTGTGCAGGGAAGGGAGGCTTCCAGGGAGGCTGGGTGTGGCAGCCGGCAGAAGAGCAGTGGATGGGGGCTCTGGGCTTCCGGCTCCGGGCTCCAGGCTCAGGAACAGAGGCTGGCCTGCCCTCCATCCCTAGGCCCAGCCCAGACGGAGGTCTGTGAGGATGAGCCATGACCCCAGAGCTGGGTGGGGAGCCAGGGTATGAGTGAGCCTCCCGTTGCCTCCCACCCCTCCCTCCTTCCTGCTTTGCCTTCCTCTCTGCGGCTCTGGGAACAGCCTAGTTCAAAGCCTGAGGGGCTCGAGATGGACAGGTACAGCATGGAGGAGCTGATCCAGCTGGGACAAGGTAGCGTTGGGGATGGCAGGCTGCCAGAGAAAAGCGGCGGGGGGGGGGGACGCTGTGGCCTCGGCAGGGGCTGGGCTTCCCTGGCAGCCAGCCTGCGCAGGGCTCTGGGCTCAGGGCTGGGGTGGGCTGGGAAGGGCAGCCTGGCCTGCACTGTTGGCTAATCTCAGGTGTCTGAACCTGGCTTACAGGAAGGGCGTGGCCTCGGGGGTGGGTGGGAAGTGCGGGCATAGGGGAGGGAGGGGGTGGTTTCCAGGCCTTGCTGGTGGTGGAGGTGGTGTCCACCATTGTAAGGACATGCTGGCTGCAGGGAGGGGGGACAGTGTCACCCAAGCTTTGGAGACAAAAGTCCCTCTGAGGCTCTTGAGCCCATTGTGGGTGGAGAGGACCTAGGGCCAGGCAGGCCTGGCCTCTGCCCATGGCTGCCGATGGTTGCCTTGCTTCTGGCAGGAGTTGGGCTGTCTCTGGTCTGCTTTGGGGCAGCCATCATTCCTGATCATCTGGGCTGCCTAGCGCTTGCCACAAGGGGCCGATTTCCTTTGGAAATGGCAGGGACTGGGGGCGGGGGGGAATGGCGGGTTCCGTGGCCTGGCCAGCAGTCTGTCTTTGGCTGGTCCCCGCCGCCAGGGGCTGAAGTTGGTTTGGGTTGCCAGGCTGAAGGTGGAGGCACACATTAGACTCTCTGTTTCACGGTACCAGGAGCGTGCTGTTTGTGGCTGATTGTGCCTCAGTCTTGCCTCTGGATCCCACGGGGTCTGTGGACAGCACAGGGCCTCACAGGAAATGCTAGTGAGCAGGCCCAGGCTTCAGCTCCCTTTCAGCTCTCCACCAGGCCGAAGGGCCTGGTCCAGAACGCCCAGCCTCCTGGAGGGAGCGGGCTGTCCCCACCCAGATATGTGTACCTGCATCCTGTTTCCCAGGGTGCACTGGGCTTCAGGTCAGCCCCCCACACAGCGGATACGGTGTAGGCCTGCTTGCTGACCTCCGACCCCACGTCTGCACAGACCAGGCCTGCTGGGGGCTAGGGTAGCCTTCCCCATTCCAGATCCCCCCCCCCCACCAGGAAAGCTCTTCCTGGGGCACGGTGCCGGGAGCAGAGGAGTCCTCCTATGGTTTGCCGCTGTCTGGGTCTCTAGCCTGCAGAGTGACCTTGGGGAGACTGTGGGCCACTCTGGGGACAGGTGTTGTATTGAGGGTGCTTGGTCTCTGGGAAAGTAGGGAGCAGCACCTGCTTGGCTGCTGTGGTATTTCCCACAGAGAGCCCCCAGGCGGTAGGCCGGCCCTGGCTGCCCCTCCCAGGATGTGCCCCCCCCCCCCCGTGGATCGGGGTGTGGACCTGACCCTTCACACACCCCTTGGCAGGTCCTTATTATAGCATTCCCCCTGGGAGCTGGAGTGGGCAGCAGGGTGGCCTCCAGGGCGGCCCGGCCCCGCACGTCATGTTCTAAGTCGGGAGGAGTGACGGCGGGCCTTGCTCGCTTCCTTGGATATTTATATCGCCTGGGCCCCCTGCCCACTCCCCCCCCCCCCCCC